GCCATGGGATTGGCTGATTAGAAATTAAGTGTTAACGAGCAGTTGGACAGGTGTACCTAATAAAGTGGCCGGTGAGTGTATTTGTACCATACACAGTGTATAATACCTTATGTCATTTATTGTATTACAGTACTTCAAAAAATATTTATGCTGTAAAGAAATTTAACACATTTATTTACTAAACTTAAACTGATTAGCTTAGCTACATCAGGTTTTAGTTTGGATTGTCATGGTTTTTCAAAACATTACTAGGTTGCTATTTGGAAAATTCAGTCGAGTATAATTAGCTGTTAAGGTTTCATAACTCTCATTTCTTTTCTGAGTATAACCTAAAAAGAAAAAAAAAAGCGTAGAAAAGCTACAGATGAAAGGGCCTCACCTAAAGCAGCAGAAGGAAGCGCTACCGTCGGTTTTAAATCGAGATAAAACACAACTTCAACATCAGCAAAACTGGCAGAAAAGCTCTCCAGAAGTGGTAAAGTCCTCGGAAAAGCAGGAGCCAAACGTTTGGGCCGGATGCTGAAATGTGCCATCCCACACCAAGAGATGCCGACTGGAAAAGGGAATGTTTTACCAAGTGAGTCTCAGCTAGGCTAAATGTTAGCTACAAGCTATCACGGTATTAGCTTAGCTTTGGTTACTTCAACAGTAGCTGTGTTTGGTATTTTATTTAGATCACTTCAAAAATCATTTTTAATTGTGCTTTTATTTTCTTGCACATCATCAGCATCAGATTTGAATTCAGTTCAGTGTTTAAAATAATCGTCACACTTGGCTGCTTGAACTGGAACAGCACACTGCAGAAAAACATTGATTTTCAACACAAATCTGTCAGACAGCCAATCGAGCAAATCATGACTTCTGCATAATAGTTTTTATGGGTGAGCGCTCATCCCAACTCTTTCAGTTCACACTGTAGGTTCATGTCAACAGACATGCCATTAGGACAGAACACGATTACTGCACAGATTAGTCATACTGTGACTAGAATTAAAGGATTCTCAGTGGTCTGAAAGCACTATCCTCTACTCTTTCAGAGACTCCTGCTCGTCTTCTCAAGCACCAGATTGAAAAAAAGGCTAAAAAATGTTCAAAAGATAAGTTAGCCTCGCTGCAGGTCTCCAAGCTCATCCTCACTCAGCTTGGTGTCGCAGTGCAAACACAAAGCTGGCATCTCCATGGCAGAGCTCAAACCGACGCTGGCTGCAGAGGGTTACGATGTCACCAAGAACAACAAGCAAGTCAATGTGGTGAACAAACAGTTGGTTAGCAATGGTCACACTTGTAAGAACTACAAGAAATACATCCATCAGACTCAGCAAGGTATAACACACTGGATCATCCAACATTAGGCTTATTTCTAAACCTCTCCATGTTGCATGTCAAAACAGATAAAGATGAATTCTGTGAAACGTGAACCAAAACCAGAGCTGAAGAAGAGCTATGCAGCCAACAAATTGTCCAAGGGAGCAGAAACAAAAAGCAAGACAAAGTGGCAGCCCCAAAAAAAAACAACCAGCCAAGACACAGAAACCGGCAGCCAAATCCCCARAACAAATGAAACAAACAACCAAACCAAAAAGAAAATCAACACTAAGATGGAATAACCAGAGATCCACAAATACTAGACTTGCACAAGCTCGTTAGTCCCCAAAGAAGACTAAAAAGACTCAGACACAAAGCAAAGCAAGACCAACACATCTGTATTAATCTTCTTGAAGACAGCGACTTCCTAAAACAACCTAAAGCTCAAGTACCATCAAACCACCAGGAGAAAGAATTACTGCTAGGATTTGTGAAAAGAAACAAACTGAAACCTATTTATCAACTTGTTTTTTTCCCCCTTTGGTTGATCACCTTTGTGGACAATTACAACTATTCTTATTTTCAACCATTTAGTTTATCTCAAATTAAGAACTTCCTCTGCTGTGTTGTAAAATATTGCAATTTCCTTATTTTGAAAGAAAAAATAAGAAAACATTTGTTTACTTAGCAAAATTTTACTTTGAAAAARCATAAAATTTGCTGCCGTTATTATAATGTTATACAAAAAGACTTTCACGTTAAAATTTCAACAAAAGATATAAAAACTACCAGATAACCCACATAGAGTCCAAATGTTGTCATTCACATGCTGTGAACATAGCGTTTTGGAACATCCGGTTTGCTGATTAAAGATCCACATATACATTTGTTCTTTGTCGTGGAGATATCAGCTTATCAGTTTATTTTGACTCAATTGTCTTGTCACACAACACCCCAGACTTCCTCAAAGGCAGAGCATATTTTAGCACAGGTCAACGCTGCAGACAGGGGGTAGTTACTTAAGGATACAGCCTTCTCTGTGTAATCCACATTCACCTAAACAATAAAAAAAAAACACATTACCGTCACATATTTAACACTTGCAATTATAAAACAGCCACCATCTGTATCCTTTTCTCACCGATCCATGTGCAAATGCTCCGATCACTACTGCAGCAGGGCCCTCTGGGACCAAAGTCCGGGGACAGACAGGTTCCCCAGCAGAGAATGAGGTGGCAATACGGGGGCAACCAGGTGGTAGGTGGTCTGAAACCGGATTTTTGATCAACTTCAAAAGCTTCGCAGAACCATCAGCAGCTCTGACACTCAGTTTGTGCAACAGCTGAACTAAAGGTAAGTAGAGAGAAGAAACATTAGAAGAGCAAACTAAGAAGTAAATAGAAAGTTTGATCACATCCAGAGAAAAATAGAGCTTACCCATCAGGCCACAAAAGCGGGTGAAGGTTCTTGGGATGCGTGTCTGTGGGTTGATCTCTATCAAAGCGTTTTTCTCTGTGTGGATGTAAACCTGGAGCAGGCCTGCCCTGTTCAGAGGACTATCCATCAGCATGAGCAGACACTGGAATAAAGTAGATTATTTCATTACAAAGAACTTTATAGCAAACATAATTCAGGAAATGCAACAAAATTTTATTATTTATTTTGATTCTGCTTACTGTGACAATAAAATATAATAGGATTCAAGTGTTTGCATGTGATTATTAAATCAAATTTTTGACTGTGCTTCTTCAACACACACAGCTTAAATATGTAACTAGATTAGCCAACAATATCACAATACATTCTTTCAACATGACATGCAAAATGGGTAACATTTCTGGAAACAGAATACATTTCTTTAATCACAAAACAAAACTGTAGCTCAAACTATTATATGTTTACCTGATGTGCGATGTCGGGTCTTATATGTCCCGGGTCCCTTCCAGATTTGATTATCATATTTTTGTGTTGATCACAGTTCAACAACTCAAACGTCTTTCCAACCTGCAAGAAGTACAACGAAACAACAAAATGTACATGGGCTTTTAATTGTATTCGTTTTTTAGCTGTTTGTGCTTTTACAACAACATACATTTTTACCTTTACTGTTTCTAACGAGGCTCCTTCCAGAATGACCACGAGCCTTTTTTCCGCCATGCGATCATGGAGGCTGCTTTTGCCAATTTTCGCGAATTTTGGTTCATATTCGTCCAAATGTTCGAGACCACGCTTCTTTCCAATGGGAGCAGCCATTGCAATTGCTAGCTTTCGGTCGCATATTGATGACGTTAAAGCAAATCGAGTATACTAAAAATTAAAATAACAGACGGGACATATTACTTTTTATCAAAAAAATTTTGTGTTTTACCTGAAAATAATCAAAACAAAGCTTGTTTACGTGTTAATGTGTAAGGTCAAAACGAGTATTCTCGAGAGCTCGTCACCCTACGTCATTTTTGTGCGCCGGATATACCCCTGCAAACAACGTGTTGAAGTGAGTTCAAGTGAAAAATTTCATCCACCGACATTTAACAGTCAAAAATTGAGTCAAAAGAGACCGCTTTTGTCGGTGAGTATGCGAATATTTATTTATGTGCTTCTTATTGCAGCTAAACACTATTTTGATATAATAATGAAATGTTTTTAACTCGTCAACAGAGCGGTCATGATGTAGTAATGCTCATTTTATAGTGGGTTTGCAAGGGTTAAAGAAATCTTCTTATTATACTTTTTCGTTTTAATAATTTGTGCCAAATAGTAAACATTAAACACGCTTATAAGCGGAACCCCCAAACAGCCTACAGTTTAAACGAAACCACAAGTTGTTGTTATTATTATTATTATCAATATTATTATTATTAAATGGACTGTACTTATGTACTTATAAATGTTATTTTCTATCCATCCAGAACACTCAAAGTGCTTCACACTACAATCTGTCCTCATTTACCCATTCACACAGCACTCTATCAGGTCTCTACAAAGCTAACATGTACAATCATCTATGGAGACTAATCAGTGCCAATCACATTCATACACTGATGGGACACACATCAGAGGTATTAGAGGTGAAGTGTCTTGCCCAAGGACACAACAACTGAAGCAGCTGGACAGGGGATCGAACCGGCGACCTTCCGGTTCCAGGACGACTCCCCAAACCACTCTGTCGCAGCCGCCCTAAATTAATTATTATTAATTCAGATCAGAATTTGAGACCCGGCTAGAGAATTACATTACTTGTAAATTGTTGAAGAGTTTAAATGTTCACTCAGGTGTTATAAAGTCAGAGCAGCATTGTGTCATTAAACAGTTTCTCTCCAACTCCCGATTTTTTGTGTAAAGAATCATGGGTCGGAAATTGGATCCCACCAACAAGGTGAAGAGGGGACCGGGTAAGAAAGCCAAAAAGCAGCGTGGAGCAGAGGTTGAGTTGGCCAAGTTTATAACAGATGGTGAGCAACTTTTGTTTTATTTTCTCAGAAATAAATAAATAAAGCCAATAAAGAAATACTTGTATTTCTATTCAGGATGTGGATTGTTGAAATAAGAAGCTTAAATCACGCTGGTTGTGTCACTGTGGTTACAGTAATTTATATCATTTTCTTTTTGCTCTCCAGAGGAAACTGAGCCAAAACGGCTATCAAGCAGAGCCAGGAAAAGGTACCTGCTAAATTTTTTTAGGTAGCATTATGTACCGAAGTTATATTTGCAATATTTAACTTTTTCCATTTTTTTCAGAGCTGCAAAAAGAGTTCAGAAGCTAGACAAGCCTAAAGGCATTGTTGAGAAACAGTCTAAGAAAGGTAACTTTATCAGTCTCAGTTAATTGGGTCAACTGTATTTATTTTATGCTTGTTAATAATATTAGTGATCATTTGTTTTATTGTAAAGGATTCACTGATGAAAACAGCAAGTGGTTGAAACCAACAAAGAGGAAACGCAAACTTGATGAACCAGAAAGCGAAGACGATAGCGAGGAGCATTGGGAAGAGGAAGAAGATGATGCAGAGGAGGAAGAAGAGCAGCTTGTGCCGAAGAAGGAGGGGAAAAATAAAGAAAAGAAGGGTGCAAAATTGGGATTGAAGAAACTGGAGGAAGAAGAAGATGGCGAGAGTGGTGATGAGGATGATGATGATGATGATGATGAAATGGTTGACGACTATGGTACACTTGATGATGACAATGAAGATGAAGCCAGAGAGGACAGCGATGGAGACGATGTACGTGAAACGGTTTCACTTTAACATTTTGAGATCAGAGATTAGAGTTGTTAAATCTTTATTTGGCCCATTCTTCTAGAAATTATTTGTATTTTGTGAGCCAGTATATTGTTTAGTTTTAAACAGAATGCTCCGCTGACTGGTCAGAAACTAGAGTCTGAAGCAAAAGTTACTTTTGTAAAAAACAAAACAAGTTTTTTAAAATTAAAATAAATTGATACTTTTATTCATTGAATACATTTTATATTCAGCTTCTTCCCATTGAGCGTGCTGCCAAAAAAGAAAAAAAGCTGAAAGAATCCATGGGTCTAGGAGAAGAGGAAGATGTTGATGATGATGATGATGATGATGATGATGATGATGACGAAGATGACCATGACAATGAAGACGAACAGAAATCAGATGCTGACATGGATGAAGATGACACAATCCAAACCAACACAGTTGATATGGATACATTCAGACTGCCCACTGCAGAGGAGAGTGAGAAGGAAGGTAAGTGACTTCAACGTTTTTCATTAATAAAAATAAAATCTTTCTACACATTCCCAGTAAATGTTTGGATTTTTCTCTGTTTTTTAGGCATCTTGTCTTTAGATCTGAAGACAGTTCATCAAAGAATAAAGGACAACATTGATGTTCTCTGTAATTTCACTGCGAAAAGAGAGAAGGGGAAAGACAGAATCGACTACATCGATCTGCTGAAGAAAGACCTGTGTACTTATTACAGCTACAACGAGTTCCTCGTTGAGAAATTAATGGACATCTTCCCACTTTCAGAGGTTTGTTGTGTTTAAATCAACAAAGCTGTAAAATCACTCATGTAGACTGACAGCTGAGTGTTTGATTTAAAAGAAGAGGAACCAAAATTATTTCCACTCTTCAATTTTCTTTTTTCTTTTTTTCATTTTAATTGTTGGCAGCTGGTCGATTTCCTTGAAGCCAATGAAATTCAGAGACCCGTCACAATTCGGACCAACACACTGAAAACAAGGAGGCGAGACCTTGCACAGGTGATGTAAACAAAGGAACACTGTTTATAAATTGTTTTTCTTTCTGCTGCTCTGACTTTGATCTAGCACTGGGATCACTTTGGTAGAAAAACCCACGTTGTTTGTTGTCAGTCTCTATAAATCCATCTATGATCCCTTGGTGCTTTTCTAGTGCAGTTTTTTGGAGCTCCTGGGGGTCATATGAGAAACCACTGGTGCAGAACAGTCACTGCCTCTGGTTTAGCATTGCAACTTCACATTTTAACTTGATTGGTCTGTGTTTGTCCATGCTTAGGCTCTGATCAACAGAGGAGTAAACCTTGACCCACTGGGGAAGTGGTCTAAAGTGGGTTTGGTTATCTTCGATTCATCTATACCAATCGGTAAGTTTCTGTTCGATCTTTGAGACTTATGGCTTTTCACTGAAGAGTTCTGAGCTGTAGTTCATCCCTTCTTTCCCCTCAGGTGCCACCCCAGAGTATCTGGCTGGTCATTACATGCTGCAAGGAGCTTCCAGCTTCCTGCCAGTCATGGCGCTCTCTCCACAGGAGGGAGAAATGGTGCTGGACATGAGCTCAGCTCCAGGAGGGAAGACCACCTATATTGGTAGGATCATGAGTTTTTGTGTTATTAGTTTATTTTAAATTTAATCTGTGTTCTCTTGAGGGGTCTTCACAGCGAGTCCTCCTCCTCCTCCTCCATCTAAAATATATTTAAAGTTTGTGTTTGTCGTGATCTTTTCATTCTTAGCTCAGCTGATGAGAAACACAGGAGTGATTGTTGCTAATGATGCAAACGCTGAAAGGCTGAAGAGCGTAGTGGGAAACATTCACCGTCTTGGGGTCACCAACACTGTGGTCTGCAACTATGATGGCAGACAATTCCCAAAGGTCAGCAGCTTTCAGGAGCTGCATCCCAAATTTCATTTGGAGCAGATTTATTACAAGTGTGTGTTTATTTTCCTGAACTTATTAGTTTTTTTTTGCTCTTGCAGGTAATGGGTGGGTTTGACAGAGTGCTGCTTGATGCGCCCTGCTCAGGAACTGGAGTCATCGCTAAAGATCCGGCTGTAAAAACCAGCAAAGTAAAATAACGTTTTCAGTCTTTATGTATACCATGCAAATAATTCTAAATAAATCTAATTGTGCATTAAAACAATTCACCTATTTTTAATTTCCTGGTAGGATGAAGCAGATATTCAGCGCTCCGCTCATTTGCAGAAGGAGTTGATTCTGTCTGCCATCGACTCTGTAAATTCAGCATCCGCTACTGGAGGATATTTGATCTACTGCACGTGCTCCATAACAGTATGTGTTCATGTTTGATGTTCATACCACCGTCTGATCAGACCTCTGATATCAAAGACTTTATTTTTATTGTCAATAATTTAAATATGTTTTTTTAAGTCTTCAGAAGAATGTTTTCATGGGAGATTTTCAATCTCTGATTTAAAAAAAAACATTATAGTTTGATGGTTTCAAACTTCAACCAGTTAAGTCAGGACATGTGGCCCCAGCTGAATTAGCTCATAATAATGGTGTTTCATGCAACAACAAAAACTGTTTAAGAGATTAGAAATTACAGGGAACTTGCCCTGGTTTTGGTTTTAAGGATGATGTGTTCATTCAGAATTGACTGAAAATTATATTTGGTTTTGATGTTTGTTGGGTTTATAAAACTAACTAGTTTCATTTAGGAGACGCTATTTTTTGTTTGTTTTACTTAATATACTAGTAACAAGATCTATCTTTCACCAGGTGGAGGAGAATGAGTGGGTGGTGGACTATGCTTTGAAGAAAAGGAATGTCAAGTTGGTCCCCACAGGACTTGACTTTGGGAAGGAAGGCTTCACCAGGTAGATCAACTAACCACTGCGTTCTCACTAAATGTTGCAGTAACTGAAAGATAAATATTGTGGTCAATAACTGTTTTTTTAATGTATTTTATCCTTAAGTTTCCAAAAATATAGATTCCATCCTTCTCTTAAACTCACACGACGATTTTACCCACATTCACACAATATGGATGGATTCTTTGTGGCCAAATTCAAAAAGTTCTCCAATATAGTTCCATCTGCTGCCACTGGGAAAGGTGATATATTCTTTTTTAACACATAAATGTCATCTTGTRTTATATTTGTGATGAGCTAACCCTGTGCTTGCTTCTACAGAAGAAGAGAAAACTACAGAAGCTCTTGAGGCTACAGAAGCTACAGACTCGTCAAAAGAGAAATCATCCAAAAGCGACAAGGCAAACAAGGCTGCCCCGACAAAAGCAGGCGTCTTAAAGCAAAACGCCAAAGCAAATGGAACAGCAGTCAAGAAACCAGCAAACATTAAGTCAACGGGACAAAAGAACTCGAAAACTGGACCAAAGAAGGCAAAGATCGCTAAGATGGATGAAGAGACCGAGGTCGGGACAGAGGCCCAAAAGTCTGGAGGGAAGATGCCAGGTCAGCGTACAGCAAAACCTGGGAAAGAAGGAGGAAGAAAATTTGAGAAAAAACAAGGAAAAAAGATCAAGATGCACATGAAGGGGAAGAACAGGATGGCAAAGAATAAACTCAAGAAGATGAGGCACAAAAATAAAAAGTGATGGGACAGTGTGGGAAAATATTTCAGATTACAAAAAATACAAACTGTGGAGTTTTATTACAAACCAGACAAGTCTTCATTTGTTTGGATCTGTATTCTCTGTCATGTCAGAGCAGGATGTGTTAAATGTTTGTAACACGACTTTGGTCTAATGAATTCACTGCTTTTTCTTTTTAAAGTTTGGTTCATTTTATTTGTCAGTTCATTGCTGGCAAATTACAGCATTGCCAGTGACAAAACAATAAAAAAGAACTCTTAAGAGATTTTTCGTGTAAATTGTTTTAATTATTTAGTAAAATTTATTTTCACATTAGTCATCTTTATAATTGCACAAATGTGAACTGATATATCAGCCAAAACATTTTCAATACTTTTTAGATCAATGTTAATGGTTTTTCATTGATTTTTTTTATTTATTTTTTTGGTGACTAATTGTCTAAACATTGAAAATATGATATGATAAAAACTATTTCATCTCAAACCTTCAAGGTTTCAAATAAACTTTTAAACGTCTCAACTTGCTGTGCTACATTCTAGTATCTGGAAATTATGATCAATGAAGTCAATTTATAGTTCTAAATAATATTTAGTGTAATAAATTTACATTTTACTTGCTGTGAAGGTGAAAGATGGTGTGTTGAACTGAAACGATGAACCAGAACGTGTGTTGGAAACATTATTTCTAACAACCAATCAAATCGCGTCGTTTCCAAACGGAAGCTGCGTTGTTTACATTTTCCAAGATGGCGGCTGGGATGTATTTGGAGCATTATTTGGACAGTAAGTTATATATCGTGCTTTAAACGTGTGTGAAACACGTTCATTACTGTGGTTTTATTTGGTTTTAGCCTCTTCCTGTTTGGCTTGGCATTTGTTTCTCCTTCATGCGGAAGAGAACCGGTCCTTCACTAACGGTGCCGGATTTAGGCTCTGTCTATTTGCTGGAGAAATCGAGGCTAAAACAGGATGCTGATTGGGAATCTATCCTCTCGTATTGTTAGATAAACACCTGTCCAAAAAACCCAAATTCCCATCACGCATTAAATGTATTATTTTTATGACACTTGTTGAATAAATTAAAAAGTGAAAGTTTGAAGAATGACGCCGTATGAGCTAGATACACTGGATAAATGTTCATTGTTTTAATTGTTTGATGCTGATCTCACTGATTGTCTGTCTTCACCACACCAGGCATAGAAAACCTCCCCTTCGAGTTGCAAAGGAACTTCAATTTGATGAGGGATCTCGATCAACGCACAGAGGGTGAGGTTAATGTGCTGTAAAATGTGAATTCATTTTTATTTTGACAACCCTATCTTGAAAAAAGTACATCTGTATACAGAGAGCAGTAGGAACAGCAGCAGGAAAGGGTAATTGGTTGCCCATTCATTCATCCGTTATCTGCTGCATGTTCCTTATTTGTTGGGTCTTGGGGGCTGGAGCTTGAGCAGGGAGATCTTGTTTTTTTCCCCCTGGACCTGTTTCCTCTGTGACCTGACTACAGAAAAGTGGTAGATGAAGATGTGTGTCCCAGTGCTATGTGTACTTATGGACACCCTTTAGTTCAAGCATAATGTTCATTATTGGCACACTTTAACCAGAGCCAAGGTCCACCAGCAGAACACAGTTCAGGTTCAGGTCACAGAGGCTGTTTCTACCAATCCCGCTCTTCAAGTCACATTGTCTTGTTATGTTATTTGTGATTTTAATATTTAAAATATGTTTAACTCCTTCAATATGATTTGTGGAGAAACAATTTAGATGAAGTACTTTATTTACCCTCACAGTTTAAAAACTCCAAATTCTATATTTAATTATGGTTATTCATGTTAAACAATTAATAACTGGGCATTTTATAATTAGTAATCTCACATGCAGAGATATCCTAATTGTAATGGCTATGTAATTTATTTTATTTTAGATCTGAAAGGACAGATCGACTCTCTGGCTAAAGAATACACATCCAACGCCCGAACTCTTTCTTCTGAGCAAAAACTGTCCATCCTGAGGCAGATCCAGCAGTCTTACAGTAAATGCAAGGAGTTTGGAGATGATAAGGTGCAGCTGGCTATGCAGACCTATGAAATGGTTGGTATCTTAGAATTAAACACATTTTTATGAGCATCTGTACAAGAGTTTTAGACATTAGTTAGTTACTGAAATTCATGGTCGTGCAGGTCGACAAACACATCAGACGTCTCGACACAGACCTGGCTCGATTCGAGGCTGACCTAAAGGAAAAGCAGATTGAGAGCACCGACTATGACTCCACCTCAAGCAAAGGAAAGAAAGGTATGTTGTACGGTTCTCTGCGTTTGTTCTTTATGTTCTTTGTTTTGCATGATGTCTTGTAAAAACCAGCGCTTTGCTGAGCACTTAAGTGTTTTTGCAATTTCAGGAGATTCCAGACAAAAGGAGAAAAAAGCAGCTAAAACAAGATCTAAGGTGAAGAGCTCAGATGAAGATGGAAGTCCTAAAAGTGCTCAGAAGAAAGTCAAACTCCTTCAACAGTACGTTATTTATCTTGCAATGACCCTGTGTTTTGTTATTTTTAGTTTTTGCAATTATGCTCCTTTTTTCACTTTTTATTGTTTCATCAGAGGAGAATTCAACAGCCCTTCCTCCAACTTTGGTAACGTACACCCATCTGATGTCCTGGACATGCCTGTGGACCCCAACGAGCCTACCTACTGTTTGTGCCATCAGGTGTCTTACGGCGAGATGATCGGATGTGACAACACCGATGTGAGTTTGTTTTAGTGGCTGACGAGGACAGTTTTCTGGCTTTGTATGTTTGAGGAGGCAGATTTTAATACACTGATATGTTTTATTCACTAAAGCCCTATTCTGACGGGATTAGTTTTACCTAGGGACCCCATGTAATAAATAAATTACCCCCCGATGTCTGTGTTTTATGTGGCACATTCGCACGGGACAACCAAAGCCTGAGATTTCTGAAATRTACAGACATCTCCCGAATGTGACATTGAAGCCTGGTTAGTTGTTGTCTATTTAGTTGAACATGACATTGAACGGACGTTAAAAAAACATAAACATCAAGTTCTCCACTTTTTCCGCTCTCCAAAGTTCCAGTCCAAATCACAGCACAGAGATGCCTATTCACATTGTATTAGTATTATCACAGGACCTCGGAGTTCAGCGAATTATGGTAGGTAATTTGTGGGGGAATTTTTACTTTACAAATTACTGACATGGCCGATTCTCACGGGATTAACAACACAGACAATCTCTGTAATTATTACAAATAGCATGGGGTCCCTAGGTAAAACTAATCCCGTCAGAATAGGGTTTAAGACAAAAAATAACATTAGCTGTTCAACTTGGAAAAAGCACAAGACTTATGGTGTAAAAATCATATGAAACCCTGCCTGATTACCTCCTTTTACACTCGGTTTTCTTCACAAACTTTTGTAATCTATGCCGAGTAGTGTGGTAAAGATTAGAATGAGATTATCAGAGGTACAGCACAGGTTAAACAACTTGGAGTTGAAGTTTAAGAATGAGATGGTTTAGACATGTCCAGAGGAGGGACAGTGCAGAATAGGGACAGTGGGTATATTGGTAGAAAGATGCTATTGAAATGCAGTTGTCAGGAAAATGACAAAGAGGAGATATATGGATGCAGTTAGAGAGGACATAGAGGTAGTTGGAGTGAGGACAAAGGACTCAGGGGACAGGGTGGGATGGAGGATGTCTCACTGTGGAGACCCCTGAAGAGGAAACAGCTGAAAGAAGAAAGACAAGTTAACATGATGATGATGATGATGATGATGATGATGATGATGATGATGCCTTTATTGTCATTTTACAGAGCACAACAAAATTACATTTAAGAACACCCATTCAGGAGAGACACACAAGACGAACATGGGAGAACAGATGATCAGGTCGTGCAGCAATCAGCAGGGGTCGCACTACCTTTAAAAAGCTTAGAAAAGCACAATAGGAGAGATGAGTTTAAAAAGTTGCTCTGATCCTATGTTTACTCATAAACACAGAATCATATGCACAAAAAAAGACTCGCTGAAGAGCAAGACAGCTGGGGATGGGGGGCTTAGGTCACTTGGGATGGGGTGGGGGTGGGGGGCATAGGGTCAAACACATGAGACGGGGGCAGAATTCAGTGGAGCCGGTGACGTTTTAGGATAATTTTCTGTGCCGAGACCCAACAGAGTCCAGAGACCAGATCATTTCTTCTCATGCTCAGTTCACTAGAGTTCAGAGATTCCCCTGTATAATTAAATACGTATCATATGTAAATTACTCTAATGCATAATTACAATTACAAACTTTTACATGTAATTCTTTAATGCAACTCTCAAATAAGAGCCTAAGTCCTACAGTTGTATGCCTTTATACTTCACAGTACATACAGTACATGATGGCTGTTTGAAAATGTGTTTTTAAGAGCGCAGTTTCATCTGAGTGCAGCACACCTAAAAGTGTTTTTTTTTATTTTCAGTGCTCCATTGAGTGGTTCCATTTTGCATGTGTGGGCTTAACAACCAAACCCCGAGGCAAATGGTGAGAAAAGTAAAAATGCAGCTTTAATGTGCGTCATTGGTGTGTTTAAAAAAATACATAAAAATTGTTTCTCAATGGTTTCTGGCAGGTACTGCCCACGTTGCTCTCAGGACAGGAAGAGAAAATGAAACTCCCGGTTATTCTGGAACAAAACACAGACCCTTTTTGATGGAGCATAAGAAGAATATTTCTTCAGTAGTTACTAGAGTTTTTGTTTCTCATCTTTCTTTACATTTGGTGCTTTACTCTTCGGTTTACATCCTTGCCTTGGTCTGATGCAGTGTGTGACAGAGCCAAGTGGTTACAGGTGTATTTAACAATAATTTAGATTATTTTAGTCACAGTTGGTGCTCTTAGTGTTACTTTTTTTACATTTTGTTGTTCACATCAATAATAAACACTACATCTGCCCCCTCCTGTTTAAAAGTTTTTGGATTTCATGATACTGTATTCTCACTGAAAACATGCCTTGTATTGTTTTATGCCTCTTTTTTTTTTTGTATTAATTTTCTCATGTTTAGCCTTGGAACACAATGTTTTTAAGTGTGAGAAAAGGGCAGTTAAGTAGACAAATTCTGTTTCACAATAACATTCGTCACCTGTGAGTTAAAGCATTTTATTTAATATTTGAGTGCTGCATATTGAAATTTAAGACCTTTTGTGAAAAGTATTCTTATTGCTGTAGCTGAAAATTGGTACTGGGATGTGGGAATGATTGGGCTGTCAATCATTTCAATACAGCTACTACCTCAAAAAATTGTTTTGTGTTTTTCATTGTACATTTCATTTTCATAAATTATTGTGATTCTATGCAGCACCTTCTGAATGGTGCTGAAACATTGTTTAGTAGTGTTCGTGCTCGTCCGGCAGGTGGCGGTAGTGGGTCAAACACCGCCCGGATTTTTGCGTCCCTGTTACGTCGGCTTGGCGCGATGTCCCAGCAAAATTTGAAAACCTGATCCGGTGCAGACCCTTTGAATACCGCGAGTACGAATATACTTTTTTTTTCCTGACACAGTTTTAAGCTCTGCGTAACTAGGATCTGCAACGTTTACAGGTAAGGTTTTGTGTTTTAACGAAGTGAAAATTGATGTTCCTGTGGAGTTCTTCAGCTGTTTCCAGTGAACAATAGTGTGTAATCTCTGATAAGTTAGCCATCCGTTTCGTTAGCTTTGCTTGCTAGTTAGCATGCTAACTCAAGGCACGTCGTCCCTCTTTTTAAAAACTTTTTTCAGTTTATATACATAATCCACATGTACTAAAGTGGAGATGTAATAAGTTTATTATTTCAAAGTTACTCCGTAGATATTTATAACTAGCTAAACTGCAATAATGGTGATAATGGCTTGCAAGGTTTAGGAGCAAACAGCAACAATGTCGTGGGACTTCTTCGTACCCGTGTGCGTGGGTGACCTGGTAAAGACTGGAGGGATCAACCAGTACGTGGTTCAAGATGTGGTTCCCCCAAAACAGCTGCCATCACAGCTCAGCAGTAAGTAGAGAGATGTGGAGCTGTTTGCATTTTGTATGTTTGTGACTGAATGTGTTCGTCCCTATCAGGATTCAAGGCTGCCCTGAGAAGCCAGGGACCTCTGTGTATACTGGAACATTTTGACACAGGCTACAGCGTGTTACAGTAAGTGTTCCTTAATGAAGAGCTTGTTTTAGTTTGTGACAATTTTACAAAACTAACATTTTTTTTTATTCTTGTAGGCACTTCWATGCATTGGAGATGGGGGTAAAAGAGGACACCCTGGAATTACTTGTACAAGGTTAGACCTATAATATGTAGGAGGATTGAACCACTTTTTTAATATACTTTGCTTTCATTCCAGTTGTTGGGACGATTTCGTAATCTTTTAAAGTGGTTTTATCTACAGTTGTTTTGAAGGACTTCAGCTGCTTTTCACTTTACTTTCTGGCCATGTACCTGACCATGACAGCTCATTCATTGTGCAGTGTGGGCTTAAAACAATCACAGACATGAACAAATTGAGGACAAAATATGACATGTGGGGGCTAAAAATACTCTTCCAGCAAATGAAAGGCATCTAAAACAAACTGACAGGATCTGAGACGCACAAGCCTTCATAAAGCATCTACTGCATGTCAGATTTTTAGTTAAAAGCTCTTTGCCAGATTGGTATCTTTGGTATATGTTTTATAAATAAATTTGAATAAATTGTTTATTTGTGACAGCCTGCTTTAAATGATGTAAATGTAAAATGGGTTATTTTCTAAGTTGTTTATTTGTAGATACAAGTGCTTTACCAAACGATTATTTTCTAATTGATTTAATCTAACGATTATTTTTTCAATTAATCTATTATTCTAACAACAAATCTATAAGTTATTCTGATGTGAGTGCACTGGAAATTTAAAATGTTTTCATCAAATTAA